TTCATTAGTTCACCCACCCGCTTATCCACCCATCTACTTATCTATCCATCCATCCATGCATCCATCTACCTACTTAGCCACCCAGTCAGCCAAACACACAGCTATCCACTCTTCCTTTGATGCATGTATTTTATCAAATTTTTGTTTGTTCACTACTTATTCACTATGCTGCGTCAGCACTCTTGCCTATACCCAGTGGAATACTCTCAGGTAACAAACTGGCTACTTATTACTAAATATACTAAAATGGACTTGCATTCAAATGACACAGAGTGAGCAGTGTCTATCTTACCCATCTTTTTGTTGTATAATGTTTAAATACTGCTCAAAAACATATTAAAAACCCCACAGAATATAGCATCAGTGCAATTAAATTTCTGGTTTATTGATCTGGTCAGTTAAGCAGCAGAGGTTGGTTGTTAATCAGTTTCAGCTGCTTTGGTGTTAATGAAATTAATAACAGGTGCACTAGAGGGGCAACAATAAGACAACTGCCAAAACAGGAGTGGTTTTACAGGTTGAGACCACTGAGATTTTGGCAGGCAGTTATTCTAGGGAAGCTGACAGGCTTAAAGAAGGTCCTTAACCCATCAGCAGGACTGGCGTTTGCTCCCTTGTCCGAGGAGGAACAGGACTGGTGTGAATATCTCTGATCACACACTCAGCAACAGGCATCATAACAATAGCCGTAGGCCCTATACTGCCCAGCACCACGGAGCCCGAAGAGCATTTACCACAGAATACCAGAATTGCAGGTCCACCACTGACGTCCGATGTTTTTCACAGATGTGAGGTTTAATTTAGTAGTAGGTCAACAATGGTGTGGGGATGCATATCCAATTTAGCTCAATTCAGTTTTATTTATGTGGTGCCAACTCACAACAAAAGGCACTTTATATTGTAAAGCAAAGACCCAACAATAATACAAAGTAAACAGAGAAACCCCCAACAATGACCCCCTCTGAGCAAGCACTTTGGTGACAGTCGGATAGAAAAACCCCCTTTTAAAAGGAAGAACCATCTGCTGCGACTGGTTGGGGTTAGGGGAAGAAGACAGGTCAAAGACACACTGTGTAAGAGAGCCAGACATTAATAATAACTAATAATTAAATGTAGAGAGGTGTGTAAACACATAGTAAGTGAAAAAAAAAAGTGTGAAGAGGAAACACTCCCCCAGCAGCAACACTCAGTGCCTCATGGGAATCCCCCAGCAGCCTCCTAGAGCTATTGCAACCTAAAGGAAGTATCAAGGTCACATGATCCAGCCCTAACTGTATTCTTTATCTAAAAGGAAAGTTTTAAGCCTAATCTTAACAGTAGTGAGGATGTCTTCCCTCCGAATACAAACTGGAAGCTGGTTCCACAGGAGAGGGGCCTGAAAGCTGAAGGCTCTGCGTCCCATTCTACATTTAAATACTCTAGAAAGCCTGCAGTCTAAGTGCAAAATCCATCCATGGAGGGACGCATAGACCTCTACAGGCTAGGCAACAGCACCCTGACTGCCATTACTCACCAGAAGGAAATCCTTCGACCCATTGTCAGATGTGGTGTAGTAGGTCCTTCGTTCCTCATGGTGCCTGACAATGCCCGGCCTCATGTAACAACACATTGGCCTGACCTAAACCCATTGCCAGACATGGATACAAGCACGAGGAGGTCATACAAAATACTCATTTGAGATGCAGCGTTATTTTTTCCCATTTCAGATCTGATGTTTTTTCAAAGTGTTCCTTTTTTTTTCTCAAAGATTTATTTATTGCTTTTCCAACA